GGGGGGGGGGGGGGGGGGGGGGGGGGGGGGGGGGGGGGGGGGGGGGAGAGAGAGAGAGAGAGAGAGAGAGAGAGCTATTTTCAATTGTAAACAAACGAGACAAGTCCAGCCTAATCAACACTGCGACAAGAACACATGCTTGGAACTATCTGCCAGAAGTTAAACTCGGCTACTGCTGTAGTCCTGGCCTTCCATTGCTCTTCTCTGTACTGGGTAGAGTACCCATAGTGAGCAGAAAGAGCGCAGTCCACCCATGAAACAACCTTTGGTGGGTGACTAGTCCTTGTGCCTCAATCGTGGTGGTTCCCCGTTGGGTTTTTAACGAAAAGCGCAGGCAGTCGTTGGAGCGGCCATGGGGTGTCTCATGTGCTACGGGTCTAAGATCGGTTGGTATCACCGCGTCTTTTTACCGGTGATCGTGCTGGAGCTTGCCCGTGGCGAGGGGGGATCGATCTGGGGCGCCATCGATCTGTGCGCGCTATGCATGGTCGCTGCGGGTAGGCGGAATGCATTGTCGAGTCCGAATGTGTGCGTGTGCTTCGGGTAACATGGGTACGACTCGCACCGCACGAGGAAGCTCGCATGCTTGTGTCAGTCGGACAAAACAACACGGGGGTGGGGGGAGTGCAAGCTGTTGTGTTGGTATCTAACGCGGTTGTAGCTAGACTTGAAAGAGGGGCTCTGTCACTTTTTGCCGGTCAATTGTTTTCGCAATACCAATTTCGTATTTTGGTAGCTCTTGCGGCGGTACAACAGTAGGCCGGTGGCCGCTGCAAGTCACGCTGTGTGCCATTTCACCCATAACCAGTCCCAAGGATTTGACATACGTATTAATTGCTGTTGTCAGCAGCACCCATTGGTACCTGGCAAAGCCGGCATCTTCTCACTTCCATCATCGGTTTCACCGGCACTCCGCTGGCTCGAGGTCGGTTAGACACAGCGTGATTCTTGGCAGAGTCGGGCAATATATAACACCCCAATACCACCCTCCCCCTGCCACTCCGTCCCGCTTCGGGAACATGGTCGACGGCATTAAATCGAGACCAAGCACGCAACCCACCCCCCGCCCTTCCCTTGTGCCGAAACAAAGGGCTGTGCGTCGCACACTTGCTTCGGCCCACATCTCCGGTAGACCTAACCCTGGCCAGGAGAGGCCTCATCTTTAACCTCTGCTTCGGCGACTTCATCGAGGCCGCCTACCCGTTCATGGAGCGATGCCGCTGCTGCAATGCCGGCGCTTACTTGGGCTCCGCTGTCTCCGGCGCCTTTGTTGCCGTAGGCGGCGTCGCGTCTACCGCTTACCTTCCGCTGCCCGTGGCCGTGGCGGCCTGCTCGAAGCCGTGGTGGTTGCTGGGGGCCACGTCCGCGGCGTTTCTGCCGGCGTTTGCGCTCGGCCTCCTCAGACCGAAAGCGAAGTGAAACGCTTCCTTCATCACCGCCGTAAGCGAGATGGCCTTTGAGCGTATCGTTCGGGGCAAGGAAAGGTTGCTCCGAGACATTGCTTTCGGGTGGCGTGCTTGTTTTCTAAGTAAATTTGGAGGCGAGTGGTGGAGCAGGGGCTTGAGCATTTGTGGTGTGGTGCATGGTAAGAGGGGTTAGAGTGAGTATTTCTTGATGCAGTTGGTGCAGTTACTGCATATTGTTGGGAAATGTTCTCGCTGCGAGTCCTCCATGGTAGTTTCTGTGATTTTCGAACAAGCTGCGCATGTATTTTTAGACACATCACTGGCGTTACCCCGCGGCATGCTTGCTCCCGCCGTACACTATGGAAGGGAACCAAAGTGGTCAACAAACGGTCGTTTACTGTTCGTGTCAAAGGAGGTTTGGGATCGGAGAGGTAGACAAATGTCGTGGCTCGGCATTGGGTTTCGTTTTCTTTCCCATATCCTTCGGGACGCTTTTGTGTGCAACGAAGGGATGGTTTGGCGTTACGGTGTATTTGTTGCGCCACATCTCCCTGGCGTCATGAGCGCCGCGCGGAGCACGTGCCCTCCTTCCTTTCTTCCGCTTCCGTCGCCGACATTTACTCGGCATGCGATGTTTGGTTCCAATCCTGAAAGGTTGCTTGCTGGTTCGGGGACAAAAAGCAACAGTCTACGTTGGAAACTATCTTGAAGCTGTTCATTGGACGTTGTTGCCTCGATCGCGCTGTGGGTCCTCTGGTCACACGGAAGTACTTGCAAGTACAACGGGGGGGTATCGATAACGCCGGTTGCAACCAGCGCCGCTGAAATTGCTGGGTACAGACCGAATCACCAAGTCATTCTGCATCTTGAATAGCGCCGGTCGATGCGCCGGGTGCATACCGGCGTTATTGAGGGCCCTTCACTGTATCGTCAAGGGTGCGACACAACCGTTCTCTAACCCGTTAGGCCATTGCGGGTTCGATGGGCGGTGAAGTTCAGAGGCTAAAGTTAGTAGTGATAGAGGACAACAGTATTCTAGTTAGCCCCAGTTTGTAACAAGCCAGTCAGCCACCGTGGCTGGTTGACCCATTGGATCAGTGGGTAACCTCGAAACCCTCCAGCGAACAAGTCGAGTGGCGGGATCCAGCAGAAGCGCATGTTTACTGCTATCTCGCGTTTCCTTCCTGTCTACCAGTAAACCTGTAGAAACTGCTTGTTCACAAGTGCACTTGGGGAACGACTGCTAGCTTTCTCGCGTTCAAACTCAAACTCAAACCGAGGCGATTACGTTTGAGGAGTTTGCCTGTGTCACCTCATATCGGAACTCGTACGCTACACGAGGCAATACCATAGGGTAAGCCGAAGCTGCGATCGACGGTGACGTCTACACATTCTATATTCAATGGGACGACGAAAACAACAGGAGGAGTAGGCTGCAAACAGCAAGTAAGATGGTGAGAGAAGTTAGCGATAGTCTAGACCGCCGCGGTGCGCTTGTTATCGTTTGCCTCCAACTGCTCCAACAAAGCCAGTCCGGCCTGGTACTTACTGGCCGCCTCTTCCTCCGCTTTTCTTTGTAGTGCTTGCCCAGCGCTGTAAAGTATCACATGAGGCAAATAGAGCAGCAAACACAAGCAGTTAGGACCTTGTGGGTTGGAAATACATAGGACGGCGGCGGTTCAACAACACCCCAAGGCGCGTTGAGACTCACAACACGTCCTGACAATGCAGTCTAGCTGCGTCGGAACGCAAAACATAAGCAGTTTTGTTTTCAGAGACGTGTGGTTTTTCTATCAAAGTTGTACTTGCCTTGCGGCGTTGAGTCAAACAGACTGAACGAAAAATTCGCCATGCGGGTTGTTTTTGTACGCATTCAACGAGGGATGCGAGAGAAGTCACGTGGTGATCATGTTGTATATTGTGAATACCTGGACCTTGTCAGTGACCCCGGCCTGGCAGAATTAGACTGAGCCAAACCACCTCAATCCCCCGCAGACTCTCTCTACATGCAGTTTCAATATTTTGTGGTGGTGTGCCGTGCAGCAGAGAACCGTTCAATGGTAAAACCGAGCGGGTACACGGCACAGTAGCCCCATTAAGAGATATGGCGGTGAAATCGACGAAGTAAACCAATCCCCTCCCTACCCGCGCTACCCAGTACCCCCACTGAAAAAAGAGAAAGAAGAGGGCCTCAGACGACCACGCCCCTAGCAATAACTGACCTGATGAGGTAATTTGCCAAGAACTCGAACACGTTTTCCGGCTGAGCCTCCGCGGCCGCCACGAGCCCCGCGGCGACCTGCGGTACCACCCCTTCCGTAAGGAAGTTCCGGTGCCGTCTTGTCCTCGTTTCCACTTCTTTGGCGTCTCTGGCCGTCAGCTTTGCTAAAACTTCCGAGAGGTTGAGATCGTCGCACCATTCAGGGTTGCTGTCGTTCCTTGCCGCTGCGGGCTCTGCGCTCCGTGTTGTGTCGGTGTCGACGTCGCCGTCTGGGAGATCCACCATGACACCATGACACGTGTTGAGTACGAAACAAAGTGGGAGAGCGTGTGCTCCCGTTCAGAACCGTATAGTCTAGCTCCGTAACGATTAAGAAAAGTGTCAGAGTGTCAGACACAAGATGTGGAGAGCATATTTACGATTTGCTGTTGGGTCTCGTTGTCAACTGTTTGTGGCACACCTTGGACAGAACGTAAACCCTGACGCAGCATTTCGAGTTCGTCAGGTATTGTTATATCACGCTCCAGGTGTGAAGCATAGATGGGACAAATATTTTCAAACATCGGGAAAGTACGCAGGAGAACATTTCCTGCAAACTCCCGCCAACGTCAACGAGAAACACTATTGCCACCGGTTGGATCCAACATTGTGCAAGGCAATACTCTCCAAACTCGGCGCAATGTACCACCTCATGGACATTGCAGAGTCGGTCTTCGTATGACACATTACTGTACATCACGACACCTGCAGCGTTGGCTTCTTTCTCGCCGTTAACCTCGGCTTCTCCGCCGTCCGCCCGCTTCTTCTGGGTCATGTTACGATCAGCGTGCTCCCCTTCCTCGGCTTCAACATCAACATCAACATCAACACTATCCCCGCGAAGCATCCACACAAACCCGGGAGTCTCTGCCCCGCATAGGTGATCGTGAACCGCGTCGACCACCCCGGACACATCTCCGTCTATTTCCACTGCCTCGACGTCCACCGCCTGGGCTTTGATCAAGAAGCGATGCTGCAGTGCCCTGGCTGTGGCCGGTATCCAGCCTTGCTCCTCCCCGGTTTCTCTGTAGCCGTTTTCGTCTGCTGTTCCCGCCGTCCCCCCCCCGGCGTTGTCTGTTGCGTTGCTGGACCCATTGTCACCAGTTCGCTTTTGCTCTCCCGGGGACGACGCGGTGGCGATCGGCATGGTACCACCACCCGTTGTTTCGGGCTGTTCGGCCTGCTGCTCTTGGGCGAAAAAGCGCTCGATATCACCTCTGAGCTTCGCCTCGGCCTCCTTCCCTCCTCCTGTACCGGTTCCCGTGCCAGCTCCGACCTCCCGCCCTTGCTGGGCCACGATGTAATTAAGAGAAGCGGCCAAGTACACCACGTGCGTAGGCCGAAACCCTCCAACAACTGCTTCGGGCTGGGCGTCAGAAGTAAGAACCATGGCCGCTAGCGGACTGCCACTACCAGCACGCCCCTCCACCCCTCCCCCCCGTGACTTCGGGCTGCCGGGGGTTCCCCCTTCTCCTGCTCTTGAATCTCCGGCTGGGCTCGTTGGCGATGGTCGCGGTGGTGATGGTCCAAGCGGTTGATCCGCGAAGATCTCGGGTGCAACGTCTCCGTGGGAAGGAATATCGCACAGGATGTACCCGCTGCAATGGTGGAGAGACAGCGGACGACATTGTGTGATCGGTTCCCATAGGCTTGAAGCTGACATTTAGGGTGTTCAGTTAGGTCCGCACTGCTTCAGCGGCCGCGCTCCAGTGCGAGTACCTGTCTCCCACCTATGTTTGTATACACATGGTTCTTGACCCGGTGCATAGTCAACCAATCCGTCAACGCCCTCCGCGTCATTACTGGTGGCTCACGTAGCCCTTCGAGACTACTTGTCCCGCCGGATTTTCGGAGGTTGGTCAAAGAAGTGGACTTCTGGCCGGATTCGTGTACGCTCCGGAGATAGATGATACCGAGGATCAAACTCGTCCTACCGTGCTACTTTAGGGCCATCACAACGGCGGTACGCCCAACAAGTGTAGCGACACGTTTTGTGGGCACGAGACACGTAGCCCGAGCGAAACATTGAAATCACGCAACGAACGACGTCGACGGCGACGACGACGACGAGGACAACTCGCCTGCATGTCCATTGCAATCTCTTTTCTTCCAGCACAAGGCGGGCCGCCCTAGCGATGATAGACGGCGACAGTACACGGGCCAAGCCGCCAGCATCAAGGGCGTTGTACTCGGACATGGGCATGTCGGCTGCCTCGAAAGCCGCCTGGACATCGGCCAGAAGACGCTCCTTGGGAGGAAGTGCCTCCAGGTCCGCCTGTGCTTCCGGCGATGGTTCTGCCTTGGCAGTCCCTTCAGAGGAGCGGAGTTGGGCACGAATGGAAAAGCACACCAACGGTTGCTCTCTGATTTTGGTGATTGAGGTGACTAACTTCACCTGGGTAGCAAGAACCAAGGGTCTTACACAGCGCCAAAGTCTACTGAACCGGGTGACAATTTGCTACTTCCTAAAAGATCGGCAGGGTAGCGGAGCGCAAGAAGAATCACTCACCAAAGAATCACCATGCTCATGCTGTGAAACATGAAACCACTTTTATTAGCTGTGAAGAAAGCACGCTTGTCTACCCAGGAATAGAAGAGGTCTTCCAGTGAAGATACCCCGTGTTCTGCCATCGGTGTTCGTTTCAGGGCAGGGACTCGGGGCAAAATCACCTTTCTTTGTGTCCTTGGCCTTCTTCCCCTTTGCCACAGGTGGTGCTTTCTCTTCTGGCGAAACGGGCGGGGGCAGGTGCTTCCCTAGCGCTTTGAATACCCCATCCACGGCTCTCTTGGCGTCCAAGAGCAAGATCCCAAACCGCTGGGAAATCTAGGAGGGATGGTTTTGAAGAAAACGAGGTACTGGCTACGCTCGATCGATGCTCGCATGCGTACCCTGTGCGGTCATGTCTACGTCTGCTTGAAGTCAAAAGGGAAGCAAGGTTTTAGGCTCGCTATGCCTCTGTTGTGCGGCTCACGACGGCGACGTGATGAGGTGGTGTATGCACGACGTTATGAAGCCGACTCTTCTATTGTACGAAATCGCGGGTCAAGCTGAGATGGACTACTGTAGACGAAGCGAGGCCAGACCTTACCTCCTGACAAACATGGCCTTGTCTCCCTCCGGGAGGGCCGAGAACAACAGCCTTTATCGGCTGAAGCGATCTGCTTGCAAGAAAATCTTCCGCCAACAGTTTCGCTGAGCCCGTGAATCCTGTGGACCAAGTGACAGGGTTCATCCTCCCTGGGATGTAGAACAAGATCAAGGAATAGGGCAACAGGAGAGTTCAGTATTCAACTTTGGATATGCAGACGTATTTTCAATGCGTTGTCATCCAACTGTAATGTTTGTCATCGAAACGGTGATGTGCCCTTCGTGATGGTTGCTACCAGCACGTACGTAGTTCAGCGGTCAATGCTGAAACCAGCATGTAGAGCGCAAGTGCCAACTGCGGCGTGTCCTACGACGCAAGGAGTACTCAAAAGATTCGCAGCAATGGTTTTGTAGAGGCTCACCATCTGCTACCATGCCCGCGAGCACGCCGCCTTCGTTCGAAAACCGGATGTTTATCAGCAAAGACAGAGCCTCCGGGTTCTCGACCAGAACTTCCTCCAGCTTCGCTTCTCCCATAGGTTGGGTCTCTCCGCTCCCACCAAAGCCTCTCCCGATGGCAACAACCATCTCCTTGGCCGTGCACTGCGCTCCATCCCCCTCCACAGCCAGGATGTACGGCTTAGGGAAAGGGCAGGGTTGCCCGTTGGACTCAATGGGCCGGAGAAGATTTCCAATGGCAACGCTCAGGTCCGCAACGTGAATAAGCGCCAGCCGGTTGTCGCCTGCGGTGCACGTCGGCAGGACGACCGGCAGGCCGCGAGCCCGCCACGCCTCCCGGAACATCCGCAGAAGGAGGGCACCCTCTCCCAAGCCGTAAGGCACCCCGGCCCCAACCACACACGTGTCGAGGCTCGAGGAATGTAGATGAAGCGCGGCAACCTCCAGACGCTTGTGCTCGAGGTATCCCGTGGGTGGCTGCCGCGAGAGGTAGTCGTCCTCTGTCATGGCCGGCTCGGCGGTGGCTTGGTGTCGTCGTCGCGGCAAGCCAGAAGCGTGGCCAGCTCGGCCCTGGTTCTTGGAGCCCGCGGTCCCTAGCGGTCGGGCGCCGTCCCGAAATGGTGAAAAGCACGACATTGCCGATGACGCGCGTGGAAGCCCCCCAGCGCTGGCTCCGCCCCCTCGGGGGGAGCGCTTATTATCCATTGCCATCACCGAGATCGGGCGAAAGAGCGAAGGCGACGATGAGGAAGTTAGCCTTGACGGAGCCGTGGGTGTTGCGGACGAGTGAGGTTTTGGCTCGGTCTTCGCCCAGGTCATGGTCGTGGACAGCACCAGCAGGTGACTAGGTCCGCCGGCTCCGTTTTCTTGCAATGCGTGCAAGGCCAAGGCCGAGAGCACGGCCTCCGCCCCTCGTATGTCCTCGAGGAGGCACAACACTACGACGTCGCAGAGGAGAGCTAGCTGCGTGGTCCCTGCCTCGTCATCCACGTCCACTGTCTTGGATACTAACGGCGTGATATCTTCCGTATCTGTTTCTTGCACCGAACAGCATGACGCGAATGCATGCCAACGGTGATCAGGAGGTCCTGGATCGTGTACGCATTCACGACTGCTGTACTTTCAACATGGAGCTGCCATGTACAGTAGTACTGTAGTCTAGTCTACAGTTATTAGTATTCTTGATCGACATCACAAGTCGCGAGGGAAGGGATTGCTGTACCCTTCTAGCGAATATCTCAGGCAGGAACCGCAGGACGGGCTCCAACCCCCCTCTCCTATGTGACCCCGGTTGGGTCGTTTTAGCTAGTAGAAGTGAAGGATAGAGTCCAATGATGGGAGAAAAAATTATCGAATCAACAGTAAGGTGGAACGATGAAATCTCATGAGAATGAGTGCTTCATACGATTGCTCTGGATGCACGCCCCGGTATGGGGACTACATCTACTCTTCGCGGATACTCGAGCGTGTGCCATGTGCAGGCCCTGGTTGTATTAATTTCAAAGCGGAGAGTAGAGGCGAATTATTTAGCCCACCTTCCTCGCGAACGGATCCAACAACATGATATCCATGGTGGCGAAGGACGGATGCTATACAGTACCCCACGTAGCTGCTAACGATGCTCACGAAAGCCTGCTTCATTCCCAATAGAAACCAAGGCGCCGCCTCGAGCACGTTAGGTCCCCGCTGGTCTCTGCTGGTAGGCGCACGCCTATCGACACAGCTCTCGCTCTGCTCTTCGTTCGGGAAAAAGCAACCGTTACTTTCGCCAGGGGGGCACGCAAACCGTGTGGATAGGGGGGCAAACTTTGAGCCAGGCGCCGGCAGCGGGGGCATGTTGCAGCGGGGGCTGAGAGGTCGAGAGACGCACACGGGGAGAGCTACTCAGGGCCACTCTCTAGGCCTGTCTGCTCATTGATTCTAACACGATCCTCACCCTGATGGAAGTCGAGAAAGAGAGCCAGGCGAGCGGCAGTGCTGTCTCTCAGCAGCCGCAAGCGGAGAGCAAGGTGACGTCCGCAGCTACGCCAGAGACACCACCAGCAGAAGAGGCTGCAGCCTGCAACATCAGCAGCGAGAGCAATGGCGATGGATCTGCTGCTACTGCTGCTGCTGCTGCTAGCGAAGAAAATGGGAGAGGTGCCATGACAGAGGGGCAGATGCTGCCTCCTTCCCTCAAGCGTCCCAGAGAAGTGGAAGATTGGCTAGTGCATCCTCCCGATGGATCGGTGAGTCTACTACTGCTGTACAAGTTGTCGTCCAACAAGCAACCTAATTTGTGGTATTTCTTGTTCGAAACATCGAGTGCAAGACCGCAGTGCACAGCAGCAGTCTACTGCGGTAAGAGAGACCGTGCGGATTGGCACAACGTGCACACAAACACAAGTTAGGGACACACAACGTGCACACAAACACAAGTTAGGGACACAATTTGCGCTCCCGAATCCACGCTCCTGGAGGCTGAAGGATGGAACATGACATCTCACGGTTTGTCTTCGCTGGGTCGCCGCTTCCGAAAACAGATGGCAAAAAGAGTCAGCCCGTGTCCGTACGCATCATCGTCATCATGCAACTGTTTGCGATCACGCACCGTGTGTTTGTGTTCGGTGTGTTACAATACAAAGATGTTCGGTCTTGGATCGCGTGTACAACTTGTACACGAACGGCCTAAGTAGATATCATACAACACACGAGAGCACGCCCCGCACTTTGCCACACCCCGCGGCAGTTACTTTTCCGTTGTTCAGCCAACGACATGAGCCATTACCCCAAGCAAGCTATACTCTCAGATCGAACAACACGGGGACAGAGGAACATTCCAACCCACAGAAAAAAATTAACCCAAAATAAAATATTGTCACCGGGGGTCTTGGCATATTCTGTTCCATGGTGTCAGATATGCGGCATTAGCCTAATGTAAACTTTAATATTTTCACACAGCAACGTGCGACGCGTGTTGTGGGAGCACGATTTCAACATCCAAGCGTCTTTGTGGCGTTGGTGGACACGTTCCTCCGATATGGCCTTTGGTCGCCCAGTTTCGGACCTTCTTTCCGCAGGAACCGACCTTGATGGTTGTTGCCATGGCCATCGTCTGCTGAGTGTAGTTCTATGTTGTGCTCTGTGCTCCGCGCTAGGCCTACCTGTCGTTCGCGTGCAGCAATTGGTACTGATCACACGGGTTGGATTAGTGGTTGGGCAGAGAAATCGACACGCTCACTGCTGTACAAGTACACTGTATAGATCCGATCCGTTTTCCGGAAAATGAACCATTCCGAACGTGATGACGTCAAGGATCTAAACGTGAAGACATTCAAATGGACAGACCTCGTGATGCGCGTGGTTCGGCAATTCGCCAAGAATGAATCAAATCACCACTACTGTACTGCTGTTGCACCATGCAGTGGTACACAACCGCGCCGATGCTCTTGTTAAGCAGGTAGGGCTGGTAGGCTACCACTTGGCCACTGGTACTGCGCTTTGCTGTTGTTGCTGCTGCTGTGTTTTGACAACGAGGAAAACGCTCTTGACCCCTTTTGAGGTGTCCGATTCGATCGGATAGGTCACGGAGATCGGTCATTGGACTGCGGTGTGATTTACCTTTTCAGGCGTGCGGGTAACTGTGCATGTGATTCCGCTATGTATACAAACTGCAACGCACCCGCGCTCGTACTCCATGATGGCATGTACAAAAAAACGCTACAGGACCCGATCGATCTGCGGCAGGAGGCTGAGGCTATCTACTCTGCTTTCGAGCTGTCCCTCTGCAGGGACGTGGTTTTCGAGGCGAGTGTTGTATACAATACTGGTATTGTTGAAAGCAAGCGAACGAATATCGTCGGCGTTGCTAGTCCCAAGCTGGCTTTGTTTGTTTGCTTGTTGTTCCAGGCTTGAGAACGGAAGCGGGGACGGACTCCTCATGGACGCATGCTTCAGGCAGGGGCATTTCGATCATCGCGAAAAATGCAAACACTACTGTACACTGCACCGAGCCAGAAGAGGTTTCAAAACGGCCTAATAGTACGCACCAGAAAAGATTTTGTGTTTTGCAACGGCAACCCATGTAACCTGCTCAGCGTACAACCGTTATTGATGCCCGATTGTGTCTGTTGTGCGGCGGCCAAGCGGTTGATGCACGATCGCATTTGGAATCTACTGCTGTTGTTGTGCAACGAGTACATTATCATCTCCATAGTTTTTGCAAACCTCCACCTCGAGGCAAGTGTTTTGTGCACGCAAGAGCCCCGAGCACAGGCTTCACGAGAAAGAAAAAAGGCGTGCGATTTCCCTCGTACATAAAACAAACCAATTGCACAGACAAATTGTAACACTTGCTTTCTTTTTGCAAGTAGCAATGGCTGTCCAGTTGCCTTGCCCCGCAACACACCCATCCAAATCGTATCCTAGGAAATATCGCTCGCTCGCGTAGACACACCTTGCATCAAGCACGCACCTTGTTGCGTTAGTAACACGGCTTTTACTCATCCTACCAGCGTATGAAGAATTCAAGAGTACGCGCATTAACGACGGAAGGTGCGCGCCCTCATTCGTACGCAGAACAAATCGCTAGGCGGCGTCGACATGATGATGTAGTCCATGCTTGGCTTGGTCATAGGCTACGCCTATAGACAGGAACGAAAGAGAAACAACCAAACAATGGGATCGAAAAGGAACAACGAATACGCACGACGCAAAAAATAAGTAAACGGACTACACCAAGGAAAATCGTAAGTTAATACCGAAATATCCTTTCACAAAGCCTGCCGTGGGTAGAGAGAGGGGCGATCTTTCTAGAAACCAAAAAAATCGGGGGGAAAGGCCTCGGGGGGGGGCGTTGTCTCTTTTCTGCTCTGATGCACCTGATGCACCTGCTGTACGACACAACACAGCGCTCACGCGGTGACCCAGACGATGTCGGGACGCAACACCATCCATGAGAAGCATACCAAAACGCACAAGAAGGTGACTGGGGCAACTGGCACACGAGAATGCTGCCACCAGGGAATGCCGTCCATAAGTTTGCTTGCGAACGCCTGGCGGGGCGCCCCAAAAAGTTGACGAAAACAAAATAAAATCATGCCACGACTAACTAAAAGGTGGTCCGGCGAAAAGCTGTAAAACAAGCAAAGTCGATATCCCCAGGGCTATTGGGGTACACCCCGGCGTTTTTTTTGGCCGGGGGGGCTAACTCAAAGGACATTACGGTAGTGCTAGCAGTAGGGCACAACAACAGAAGAAGCAAAAAAAAACTTGAGCACTACGCGCAAGAGCACAGCAAAAGTTGTAAATGAAGAGGAGAAAACACCCCGGCACAATCAAATCGACAATAGCAGTTCGTTGTAAAACTAGGGACACATCCCTTTCGACTGAGGTTATATCTCGAACGAGTAGTCTTTCTGTGAGGTTATTTTTAGACTACTTTGTAAAAATCGGGCACATGAAATATTGTAGCACGCATGCAAAATTGACCCACTTTTACGGAAGCCTCCCCGAACTGTTGTTCAAGTGCTAGGCAGTGTTCGCCTCCCGCGTGATCCGACCCACCTCGTGGAAGACCTGCACGTGCACGAGCAATCCCGCTCTCTTGTCATACTTACGCTTCCTCATGACACGTGTTAACCCGTCCCGTCTCCCTT